GATTGCCTGGGACTACACCTGTGCTGCCACATTGGCAGACACCTACTTGCCATACTCCGTAGTGGAAGAGGGTGGAGCTGCCAGCCACAGGGAGACCCAGAAGATCCGAAAATATGAAGACCTTCCCCCTTGCTATAACTTCATTCCAATAGGGTCGGAGACCCTTGGAGCATGGAGCAAGTGTGCTCTAAAGTTCCTCAAAGAGCTGGGTGAAAAGCTCATCATAGAAACCAAGTACCACAGGGCGACCAGCTTCCTCTCTCAGAGACTCAGCGTTGCAATCCAGAGAGGAAATGCCTGCAGCATTCTGGGCACGCGGCCCACCGCAGGGGAGCTGGACGAAGTATTCGAGATGTAGCTCTGAGTTACCTATGTTGTTTTACTTTCTGTTGTATTTTTGTGAATGTTTGGCCAATGTATTTTGTCTTTAAATAAAACATACTTGAAATATAGGGGGTGGTAGGAGAAAATTCTCAAACAGCTTCAGGGAGAACCTTGAATTTTCCCTGAAGCAAGTTTATTCTTTTCTCTGAGGATGAGGGTCCCTGCGACAGTTCTAGAGGTGGTACCTCCAAATATATTATATATATATATATATATATATATATATATATAATATATATATATATATAATATTATATATATATTTTATATAAAATATATATATAAATAGAAAATAGAGAGAGAGAGAGAGAGAGAGAGAGAGATACAGATATAGATAGATAGATATATAGATATATATACACAAATGACCTCTACATATATTAATGCAGCTATGACCTCTAACTTCTATTCATATTCTAGTGACGACAACCCAGGCTGCTCTGGCTGATCTCAGTGCTCTCTATAAATGCTTTACTATTAATATTAGATTTACAGGACAAGTGGCAGAGCTGGATACCAAGAGTACAAATTTACAAGATATTAATTGAAGCCGGTAAGGTATCAGACATCTTCCTTTGAGAGGGGCTCCTTGATGCTAGTGAATGGCTTCTAAATCAAACCTTTCATTTCCCAGATATTGTATGAATCTTACCGGTTCAGCACTCCTCTGAATATAATAATAGGAGACCTGGGAAAACAGAAAATGTAGTCCCAATATTTATAAGAGGTAACACTTAATTACAGGCCAATTGTTCTGACAAGTGCCTCATGTAAAGTAAAAGAGTAAACAGTAATATGAAAAACTAGTAGTGCACTTCGACAGAACGAAATCTATCTCTTGAAAACAATAGTTTCAGAAACGTAAAAGAATCCAGTCTCCAATCTGATAGACACAGGGGTGGCTCCAAAGTTTCTATATAATACGGGCTTCGAGGTGGCTGTCTGGTTAGAAAAGAGTGAGGCTAGAAGACTCGTCTTGAAGCTGTGTTATTACTGTTGCTATTATTATTATTTGGGAAGGATTTGGGGGCTAATGAACATTATGGGGGCTTCCGTACCCCCTTGCTCCATTGGAGCCTCTCTGGATAAGCAAATAAGCCAATCATGGAAATTATAAAAAAAAATAAGCAGACTGCAAACGACTGAGTCATATACTTGAGTAGTATTAAAATCAAGGAAGTTACCAGCAGATTTCCACTGATATACAACAGCCATCTCCTAAGAAGCCTAGAATCCTACTTATCAGTGTTCACAGATGACGCTACGATAATGAGAATATAAACAAAGAACCAAACGAACAAAGCTGAATATGACATGATTTAACCCTAACAAATATAAAATGATATAAATAGGTGAAACTCCAAGAAGACTAGACAGAATATACCACAAGTGGGGAAGGGCTTCCGGACTCAAGCAATGGAGAATGATTTAAACGTCATACTACACCAAATCTGCCCCAGAAATATACAAACCGAATAACGTCAGCGGTGTTCATCAAACTAGCACCCATATGAATGTCACGAAAAAATATATATACATGTATAAGGAATATTAAAAAGACGTACTAGTGTCAGACCAGTCTTTGAGTAAACGGTACATATGTTGATCCACCTAGTTAAACACACAAACTTTGTAAAACAGTAAATCTGTGTGGATCATACACCAAACATAAGGCTAACAACACCCAAATAAGTGTATTCCACTTAAGAACACTGTCCACAAAAGCAGATGACTCAAAGACGAAATCCTGAACCACCCCATAGTAATGTCTCAGAAGCAGGACTCTAAGTTCAAAATGACATAATATAATGTATTCGTGAAAGTGTAATAGCATTTTATAGATACTCTGAACAAAGTTTCAAATGATGACCCTTCCTCTTAAAGGCTATGTTCAAAATAGTAGTTAAAATGAGTCCACATAGTGGATACAGGTTAGAGATGCACGACAATGCTCAGAAATTTTAAATTAGAAAATGACAATGTAAGGCATTTGCATGTGAGGATATGTTAATAACAACAGAGTAATTGTTCACATCTTTCCCATTTGGCATCAAATTGCTGAGATCTCTGAGGCCTGAGGTAGTGTGTTAATGGGAGAAAGACAGGTAAAAACCACCTGGCAGTTTGCTAAATCATAGCTATGCCCACTAATCTTCATGCAAGTACTGTAGTTAGTGCAAGGCTGAGCCAAGCACCTCCACCTCATTATCAAACATATCATACAATACTATAAAAAATAGCAAATATAGAGAAAGCAACATGAATAATTACAACACGGGGATTCAACATTATCTTAGTAATAGACCACGAAAGGTATCCCTTGTTATAATAATCACAACAGTAAACATTAATATTAAACACTAAACAAACAATAATGTACATTACACCTGAATAAACTTACTTACTTATTTTCCATAATAATAATTAATTTACTCCTTAGGGCATAAAACATTTTGTTCATACCTTATGTGGAAATTTACATTTATCTGAATGTATCATTATGTACATAACAGTAAATGAACATTGATAATTATTATTTATCAGTTAGACAAGTAGGAATTTGGGACACCTAGGTCGCAAAAAATGTCCCCCTTCGATACCTACCACTGTCATATCCACAAGTTGCTCTGGACCTATTAATTACAAATGAAATACGTATCACCAGGAATGCTGGTAAATATATAAATTTGTGGACTGTATATTAAATTAATAAAGGATTATATATATACACATATACGTAGCAAAGGAGAATATCTTAAAATCACTCACCAATTTGACTGGAGATCAAGGTGTATCATACTCAGAAAACCTCACTCTATGAAAATAACACTGGCCAGAGTTATAACATAAGACTTATCTGAGGTTCCTGGAGCTGTCTTGTCCAGTCGCCTGATATCTCAAGTTATGCAGGAATGCACATCCAACAATTTCGCCTCCTATATGAGAGGTGTCAGCCCAATTTTACCTCTAGAGCACGAAAAACTCTTCCCATTATTAACTAACGTTTGTGTCGTCTCGTTCAAACATGGCGTCTCCTCTGCGCAGGCACAGCTTTTTCCCATTTTTTATAACATAATTTTTGTTAAATACAGTATGGCCATCTATTTACATATAACTACTGTATTTCTGGAAAATATATACAGTACTTTCCACACCTTAATAGGCTGGATAAAAAAAAGTTCTTTCGGTTTACAAACGAGATGAGAAACTATAAACATATTACATGAACGATCTTTCTAGTTGCAAAAATTAACATTTATATAATTACTGAACGAATCCTTGGACATGTGAACCCTTGGAGTTGTGAACACTTGAATTGCCGAACCATTGAATTTGTGAATCTTTTTATATGTGAACCCATGAATATGTGAACCCTTGGATTTATGAACCCTTGGCTATGTAAGCCCTTGGATTTGTGATAATCCCTTGAATATGTGAACCCCTGGGCTGGTGAATCCTTGGAATTGTGAACTCTTAAATTTGTGAACTCTTGTATATGTGAACTCTTGGATTTGTTAACCCTTTGGATTTGTGAACCTTTGGATATATGATCATTCCTTGAATATGTGAACCCTTGGATATATGAAGCCTTGGATTTGTGAGCCCTTTGATATATGAACCCTTGTGTTTGTGAACCCTTGGATATATGAAGCCTTGGATTTGTGAACCCTTTGATATATGAACCCTTGTGTTTGTGAACCCTTGGATATATGAACCCTTGGATTTGTGAACCCTTTGATATATGAACCCTTGTGTTTGTGAACCCTTGGATATATGAACCCTTGGATTTGTGAACCCTTTGATATATGAACCCTTGTTTGTGAACCCTTGGATATCTGACAATGTTTGTAATTTATCTTAATTTGGAAGTCATTTATTGATGCTTACATACGTTTAGTAAGTTCACTTGTCATACATAGTGTAAATTACCTAGGATAACCCCGAAAAAAGTAAGAGTGACGATATTCACAGGCGGTGTATACACGATAATTAGCACCATGACACTTGACAGTGAGAAATGTGAAGTATAATTACAATGATTCTGTTCTCACATCTTTATTATATTGTAGAGATCGAGCCGTCTTATTTGTCTGTTAAGGTGGGGCAGTTGGTGCCTCTGGTGTTTTTAGTAGAGAGCTTAACCTCTTTATTTACGTACTAAATGGTATGGTGGGATCATACATGTATACTAGACGTTACCCATCTTTCCTGGGTCAAAGATATACTTGTAGAATGGGAGTGAATCAGGGGAGGCTTCTGCTGGTTGAGTTCTCGCACGAAGTTTGATTCATGTCCACAGGAAGTTGAAATACCACAATAGTGACGTCGCTACAGCGACGTCATTACTGACGTCATAGCAAGAGAAACTGTGAGTCTTATTCTCACGTCTTATGCGTCACTTGCTCTTCATACCTACTAATGGGTGGCCTAAATATGACTTCGACTATCTCAACATAAAGTACTCTTTTGACAGCTTTACCACTACACGCACTCATCAACGAAGAGGTATAATGAGAGTGGTTGGTGCGTCAGTATGGCGGGGTCAAGCTAGCAGCTTATTACTCACTATTTGCACGGGCACTGCCAACACACACACGCACTCACACGCACATACGCTGCCACACACTAGTACGCTCACAGTCTCTCATTCACACCCAGGGTATAGACTAGTCCTCATCACGTGAAAACCTCTTTCATAAGCTCTTGACTGTGAGTGCACGGATAATATAACCAGTCATTTATAACTCAAGTAATCAACATTATCAAGTGTGGTATTTCATACCAGTGACCCATTTTCTGCGTTTCCTGGGGAACTTGAAGCGTAGGACAGCTTTCAAAACAAGTTCAGTGTCTGGAATCGAATTATAAACAGCCGTCGGTTACGCAACTACAA